AAAAATTTTTTAAAAAAAAAAAAAAAAAAAAAAAAAAAAAATGAAGAATTTCACATGAACGCACACAGCCAACCACAGAGACATCCCGGAGGATGGGAAACTACCCCAACAGAGAAAGAAAAATTCCTCGCTATCTTCCATTTCGTGCGGAATGGTTGGTAACTGGTACGCGACATCGGGTGCAGCTTGGCAAGTAGACCCGAAATGAAAGACGAAGAGGCAGGAGAAAGGGCTGCAAAAGTAAAAGGTAAAACAAGCGAGGAAAGGCTAGAGTGAAGAAATATGTGTCGCTGAAAGGGAATTCCTTGGCAATTACGGAAATGAAAATCTACAGGCTACTAGGCGCGACGCACTGCGGACAATTTCACATTAGCGAGACTTGGCCACGCCGGGCACCACGCCGGGCATTACAAAGAGTGGCAGAATAAAGGAGGAGACGATTGCGATAGTCGGAGTATGGTGCCGTTACGATATGTCGTGTGCGAGACCAAAAGTTCATTAATCATTAGTAATCATTTCACTAATTAAACCGTTATAAGGTAGTTTCTTCAACTACTTTTCAATTTGTTACGAAGCGACCAAGTCAATTTGCCAAGAACATTCGCAAGAAGTTGGAAGCGCGCTGCTCGGTTTGCGACGATGGAGATGATAGAGACAAATGCAATTAGATGCGTTACGTGCACGTACAGTACGGTAAAGACCAGAATTTGCAGTCGCAGGATGATGAGATGTTGCGCAGGTTTTTAAATTTACCAGGAAACAACTTTGAATGGCTTTCCGAGTGACTTCCGATCATTAACTTTAGAGTTCCTATCGTTCCTAGTATACTCCTGTGATCTTACAACGATTTCTACGCCATTCACGGTGATACAATTCAGATTCTGTATTTCTTGTTTATTATGTTCTTCAAGAAATTTCACAGGGTGACGACAATCACGTGCCATTTAGAATGTTTCCAGGAACAACGTCGTTTTTCCGCGTGACCTGAACTTTAACTCCGGTGCTAGAGACGATAATGCATCAATTTGATAACCCGCGATGGTGCACCGACGACTTTCAATTTGACGTAATATTGATTGATGTTCCAGGAATGCACCACCACGTCTTTGTCCTTCGGCTTCAATGAGAACTTGGTCAACATTCTTTACAGATTTCTGTTATACCACGTCCGATCGGTAAGAGTATAACAACAGTTGTATGACAGAACACTGCAGTGCCGACACGAATAATTTCGATTTACTTCAAATTGTGTACAAATTTTTAATAACAAGATAGCCTTGTGAAAATTGGACAAAGAAAAAGAATCTGAAACGTTTTCCAACATTGACTCCAAGAAGACTGGCATACAAATAATAATTCACATTAAAGAACGTATCTCCGCGTCTCATCTAAAGAATTTGTCTGTTAAGAAGGAAGAAGTTTAATGTCGAACAACAACTATAGTATAATATGAGTATAGCCCCGCCTCGTTCAGTCTAGTCTAAACTGATCTAATCTAAATTTTAACCTCAGCCATAATATCTTAGATTATTAAGAAAAATGTCAATCTCAACATTTTCCACCGACTGAATTCTCTTTCTCTATGTCTAGCTTCGTGCAAGTGCATCTGTGCATCACATGGCGTGCACTGACTGCCAATAAAGATCACTACTATTAGAAATTGGTTGCAAGAGAATCGATCTCTGGTATAAAATGACCGGTCCAGTCTATAGGCAATCGTAGACACAAACCCGGCTTGGCTATCTTTGAGTCTTTAGACAATTATCGATAAATCAGCATGCATTCGGTAAGACTGAATCATAGCTAACAATAAGACAATTTGGTTGTCGCGTGGATTACCGACGGTTGCTAAACTAAACAGCTGCTGTTGCCCAATTGAAACTTCCTTACCGACCACTGATCACTTGACATTCGTCACGAGCATAAGAGAAACACAGAAAGTGTACCTTTGGATTGATAAAGAAGTCATATTTGAGGAAGTCCTGGCGAAAGAAAAACTTTCTGTGATGACGCACAGTGTAAGGTTCCATCTCGCGATGAACCGCAAGAATATCTTCATGATCTTCGAGGGTGCGCTCTGAAAAATAGAAAAAAAAATAAAAAGTTTTCAATCTCATAAGACAATCGATTTCCAAAACGGCAAGCTTCGTAAACCTATCAAGAAAGGGGCACTTGAAAAATTGATGAGCATCAATGCCAGAGCATTTTAGGAAGCATTAACGTCATCATCGAGAGAGCACAGACCTAAAGCGTAAATCCGGCAACCGGATCGAACAGCATCGCGCGATGGAAAAGCCCCTTCTCTCTCAGCGTCTATTTTTTCGACCCTGCGACGACCAAGTGTTTCTCAGTTCGAAACCTTCGAATTACAGAGTTTGCTCTATTTTCCTCGCTTCCTCAGCATGTTTACCGGCAATAACCAATTCCTATTAATAGACGTTAACTCCTGGTTAGAGCACCTCGTTGTTCCGCAAACATCGAGCAACTTCAAAAAGTACTTATCTTCACGATATACGTATAACTCCCGCTACAGTGTGTTCCGTGAATTGAAGCGGGACTAACACTCCAAATCCCACGCGCTTCGCGCAACATTGCGTAAAATGGCGTAACCTGACCTAACCTGAGATACACGCATGACGCGGCGACACTTTTTTCTTCCGGACGTCACTTTCTTTTCTCGTCGCTTTTCTACGAGTCAAAAGACATTTAAGACATTCCAGCGTGTTTTCTCGGTGGACTCGAAATACGGCGACGCGCCGCCAAGCTAAGCCGAGCCAGTGTGCGTGTGCGGCACACTGTGTGTAAAATGACCGTAGGCAGACTGCGTCGTTAAACACGCCGTGGGGTGCTGCTCCCGGCTCCCGATGGCGCCCCGCTTCCAGTAATTTCGAGTTTCCGTACTTTATGGGCATTAATTAAAATGTTACGCCAATTATGCAAACGAAGTGAAAAATAATATGTGAATATAAAAAATAGAGTGAAGGAAAACGACGTGGGCAGCAAGAACCGGAGGAAATTGAACGGAATGAAGGTGGGGAAGGTACAGGAAGTGGATAAGGGAGGGGGCAGGAGCGAAGAATGAAATGAAAAAAGAAATCTGTAATTTCCCGGCGCACGCAAGGCGTTGCACTTCCTGTCTCGTGACCCGAACCAATCGAGACCCTCGCGCAACCAACAAAGATGCACTACTCGGTCGCCCGGCGCTGGCGTTGGCGTTGGCGCTGGCGCTGGGACTCACGTTCTCGCTTCGTTTTCCTTATTCCAACTGTTAGCTTCGAACGAGAATGCTTCCGTTATCGGAATCGATAGCTGACGACGGACTCGTCATTTTTTAAATTATCCTCACAAGAGTCACTTGGGTTATCGTGCATAATCGGAAGAAGGAAAACGAACCGTGGAAAACGATATTCCAATTGCAACCGGCAGAATCTGCGGAAGAAGTGGTTCCATTGAGTGGAAGTTGTCGTGAAAGAGTCGGGCGAATAGGGCGAATAGGGCGAATAGGGCGAATAGGGCGAGGAACGGTCGTGGTGCTCAAGCAAATAGGGAAACCTGCCAGTCACGGAATGAAAGCAGCTAAAGTTCTTTACAGGTACGACACGACACGACACGACACGACACGACACGACACGTGTAAAAGCTAACTGCAGTCTGCACCTGCGGTAAGCCACGCGCAAAATACACGTAATTCAGCAAACAGACTGGAGAGACGCCGCGAGGCTTCGCAATGCCAGACTTGAGCGAAGGGTCGTGCGCGCTTAAGGACGCGTCCAGGAGCGTCGCTGCTTCCCGTGAACCGCCTGTGCCCTGTGGGACCAAGTAAAGGAAAGGAAAGGAAAGGAAAGGAGGCAAAGCGACACGACCGATCCGCAGAGCTGGAAAAGAATCCTGGAAAATAAATAGCCAGATAGGAATACTCAAGTAGGAAAGTACGTAGAAAACCCGATGTCAAAGAAATTCAACGTGAAAGGGAAAAATGTGAAAATCAAACCTGTCAAGTACCACCATTCAAATGTATATCGGAGCAGCCCTGATAAATAACGATCGAAGCGCAAGAGAACCAAGAGAACCGGAAGGCCAAAGATATTTCTGCGAGGAATCAATTAGTGGAAATGGGTGATGAGCTAAACGGAAGCGTCCTAGGTGCACTTTTATCTCGGCACATGCGCCGAGGTTAAAAAACTACATTTCCTGCGATTCCCACTCGTGGGTGGGATCGCACGCACACGCCAAGCGTGCGGTTTGCACACACAAGGATACCTGACCTGGCCCAACTCCGCCGCTATCGATTCTTGGCCGCCCATTGTAGGCTGCCACCACGCCACCACGCCACCACACGTGGGCCACGCGGCCACACACGCACGCAGCCTCCCGCCGCCGACAATGGAGGCTGCTGCTGCTGCTGCTCGGCGAATCAACGAGAATCGCAGCAAAGGGCTGAATTGCAGGAAGCATGCAGGAGCGTCTGACTGCGCCTTCAGCCGTCGGAACGAAGTAAGCGGAGCACCGGAAGAGGAAGGAAGCAGCGAGAGGAAGAAGAATTGCTGATGAAAAATAAAACAGCGACGAGAGGGGAAGGTACGAAAGTTGGAAGAGCTGCGCATGTCTGCCGTCTGGCGATAGAGGAAGAGGAAAAATGCATCAACGTGTGGATAGATAGTAGGGTGTATCTAGACGGATGGATGGGCGGATGGATGGACGGATGGATGGATGTCTCACGATCAGCTAGCGAGTCCAGGAATGGAAGACCCTCCCGATTAGCGAGTCGCGCGGCCATGCGATTGTCCAGCAGCCACGTGGAACCGATACTCCTGGACATTGGGATGTCGAGGAAAAGCTGCTAAGAAATAAATACGCACTTACGCAGTCCCGCGTCTCCTTTAGCTTTCAAGGATTTCAAAATCTCTACCTACGCAGATGGCAGCGTCGCGCGAAAAACATAATTCTATGGATTTCTTGCGAGGAAAAGAGGATTGTTGTTTTGATCAGGCGTCTCTCGTTTCTCTCGTCGCATTGGCCAATTCGTCGTGTCCCGTTTGTGCCTTTCCTCGTATTTTGTGCACTCTCCGATTTCTTCGAATTTACGAATCCGCTTACGTGGGCATGTACGTATACGCATGCACAATTGCACACGGCCACGTGTAACGGAGGGAGGACAGATGCAATTCGAAAGACACACGTTCAATTTACGTTACGCACACGAGAAGCCAAGGCACGCATTTAGCCCGGCTATATTTTGCAGCCTCTTCCAGTCTCTCCAAGCACGTGTCCTACTTCAGCGCACGCACCTTCGCAGGATAATTCCTTTACAGTAATTGCCAAAGGGAACCCGTGGCGATAAATTGGCGCGTATCGCCTGACGACCCACGCACCCTCGGGGGATCCTTTAGCCAGGAGCCAGCTAGAATCAGACCCAGGAAATCAGACCGCAGAGCCCGCGCACAGCGCACGTACCGCCGAATACTTCTTATTCGGAGATGTCTTTACAGAATATCTTTGGCGAATCATCGAAAGACAACCGGTTGCTTTGGGGCCAATGAATTTCGCTCAGAGGATCCCAAAGTCTTTTCTCGCTATTTGGTTACCTGCCCACGTGGTTGGCACGCGTGTACCGTCTGGCGAATTTGGCTCATAATCTCTTAGTCATCCCAAACCAAATCTGATATTAGGAGGGTCAATTATTTGGTTGGATGCGATAACAAAGGGAATTTTATGAGAATCAACGGACACGCGTCGTGTGACGTTACAGGCCACTCCAATCAATTATCTGGGACGCGTGACTGTTGTCACGCACCTACTGCCCCTCCCCTCACCAATTTCTAATTTCATTAGGCTTTTCTCAGCTATTTCCCTCTATTTAGACTTCTACACGTCTCTCTCTCTCTCTCTCTCTCTCTCTCTCTCTCTCTCGGCCGTTCCTCCATGGCCGATACTTTCCCTTCCAGTCGGAATTTCCTTGTGCTCCTCGATTACTCGTTGCATCAACATCGCTAACTTTCAGTCTCTTTTGATTAGTCAGTGCTCCAGAGTCATCACTCATCACTGGACGCACACAGTGGACGAAAAAGTTTGAAAAAATATGGAAAATAGAGCGAAAGCAGTGAAGGACCCTTCGATCCTGAGAAACAAACCCAAGAGACGCGAGAAGATTGAAAACAATGATGAACGAAGCTTCGGGTCGATGTGCTTAAAAATGAAAGAATTCCTCGGGCTAAGCCAATAATCGTTAAGCCAAGACTTACCGATACCCAATTCCGGCCACGTCTCGACGACCGACCACGCGATGCCAGATGCATTCCGCTTGACCTTTAGAAGCTCGCAGAGATCGATGGTGCGCAGATTCTTCTCAACTACCACCGCGGTCCAGGATTGGTCGTCGTTGTAGAAAGACAATTCCTCCTGATGAGAATCGTATCGTTACGAATGGAAAACGTAAAGGAGCCTCGTCGCCCCCGGGACTCACCTGTCTATCTGTGTCTTCGTTCGACTCCTTCGAGGGTGGGTCGCGACGTCGTTCCCTCTGCGTCGTGTTGCCGAACTCGAAGATCGTTGGAGCGTTACCGAGACGCTCGTAGGTGCCCACGCGACCTGACATTCTGTTCTTCGAGAGCGTCCCTTCTGTGTCGAGACAGGAACACATTTTCGGGAACCAATCTGTAATCAGAAAATTACACACAATTAAACCACACGCCTCACACTCTTTTGCTCAATCTGATCTAGATAATATAAGAGCGACGAGATCCGACGATCGGATGCTCAGAAGGAGCGGGCGAATACTCAAGTTTCAAGGAATTTTGGAAAATCTACAAATCCTCGAAATAATAACACGCGAAGGTTATCGATGGATAAACTCAGAAATTCGGATCTAGTGAAAGATATGACCACCAGTCGATAGCCCTTATCGAATTAGCCGCAGTATTAGCTCGAAAGATGGCGGTAATGGTAACGTGAGTAAAATTAAGAGCGAATCTTCTTTTGCATTCCGAGGGTCACGTGCGGCAGTGCGTTTACGTATGCGAGATGCTTCCTTGACGAAAGGCTGTTCCAGACTGACAGACTCCAGGTCGGATACCCTTTGTAGTGTGGGGCCACCTTAAGAATGGCGGATTATGCTTTAATAACGGGTTGTCTACGTCGTATCCGGGGTCACGTGTACTGCTCAAAGCCACTTCTCTTTATTCTTCGACGTATGACGAACACTAGGAAATACGTTGCAGGGCCGACTGATTTTTTATATTTAATTTTCACGTTCTCCGTCCCTCGCCTTCTCTAAATTGTGTTAATCAGGCCGGCAGATTTTTTTATGTCTGCCAAATATATCTTTCACGACGTGTATGGAGCAAATATCGTAAAGGGAGTATCGCGTCCCGTTGATTGAATCATGGAAGAGACGTTTACGGGATCGGCGACGTGACAGTTCGACTGGAGTCGTGCGTCGGCAGTCGCGGAAATTCTACTGCCGGCAGCCTAAGACCAGCCTCAGGAGGATACGAGCGTTAATCGACGTTGATTGGATAGTTTTAAGCTCGAGCGCATTCCGGATCGTCGGCCGACGTCGATCCTTGAGATAGCTGGATGTCGATTTCTTTAATAGCTGCGCTAATGACAGTAGGAACTCATCGATTCATGATTGCGCCAATATTGCTAGCCTGGAATGGGGGTTCTGCCACCGCCCCCCCCTTGCCCCCATACCTGCCCTCCTCCCCCCCATATAGTCCGGCTGCACCTGAGAAACGCATGTGCAAGGCCCGCTGCATCGCACGAATGACGCGCTGCTGCATTGCCACCATTTCTCATGGTAGCTGCAGCCTAGTAGTCACCGAAGAATACAAACCCCACGTCTGCCACGTTAAACGCTGTGGCAGCTGATATAAACGAGTTTCAGAAACTTCGTAGACTTGAGAAAAAAAAGCCGCGGGTTTACATATGAGAAATTTGAAAACGACTACGTTCCCAGTATCGTCGCTCCTCTCACTTTCTGAGGGCGCGCGAACACGCACACGGCCACAGTTGTTTTCTTGCGATTCGCACGCGACATCTTTGAAACACGTGACGGCAGCGCATGCAAACTGGCGGCGGCGTCTCAAGTAATTACGGGAAGCTGAAATAAGCAACGCGACAACAGAACGAACCTGTGGCTCCTTTGGCCGTAGTCCTCTTTCATTTGCTCATGTTTGTTAACGGACTCGCGGCTGCTTCTATTTCCAGCCAACCTGTTTCTCTTGCGCGCACTCACACACGCCTACGCCGCGTCGCGACGCCCTGCGCGAACTGTGAGCTCCGTGGGATCTGTGAACTATGCTTCGGTGCCGGGCCATTGGCAGCCGAGGAAGAAAGAAAGACATTCGGAACGGTGGCAGAGTATAGAGAGAGAGAGAGAGAGAGAGAGAGAGAGAGAGAGAGAGAGAGAGAGAGGCTGGAAGGAAGGAAAGACGCACGCGGAAGGCCAAAGCTTATCAATGTTTCATGCATTTCTGAGGCACAGCCAGCCTGACTTCCCGAGGGGAAGAAGGTGGAGGAACGTGGAGGAACGTGGAGGAACGTGGAGGAACGGAGAGCCACAGAAGAGACTGGAAAAAAGGATGAACGGTTTGGCCGTGCACAATTCTCTTGACTCGTTTCTACGCAGGAGAAGATTGTTGACACGACAGCCGGCCGAGTATTCGATCGACTGCGACTGCGATTGTGTCGCCTGTGCTCGCTCAACAAGTACAATGTATGTCGGGGACGAGGGGACTCTCTCTTACATGAAGTCGTAGAGATGTGGCCCCTTCGAGACATCTCATTCGTTTTTGGACTATGTCTACCATTTACGGCTGCCTATCCAAGTATCTACCTAGCTAGGTGAAGCTGTGACCCTGTGGCTGAGCTCCTTCCTTCTTCTTCTGCCCCCTTCCCTCTTCGAGGGACGGGGGGGAGGAGAGGGGGAGAACGACAATGGGATAATTATTGAAACAGCATGCTAATCTATTAGCCAGACAATTGGCTAGCGTGATCTATCGTATTTTATTTTTACTTATTTACCCAAAATCTCCATAAAGCAAAGTACAGGCTCATTTCAGTCGCGCAAGAGGAAGGAGTCGAAAGGCCCTTCACCCCCCCCCCCAC